ATAGAATAAATTTCCATTTTTGGTAGGGTACTGTATATTTCAAAAAAAGAACCTTACTGTATATAGGATATTCCTTAATTTATTTATATGAAAAATACAAATATTTTCTATTTAATATTATAATGTAATAATGTAATATAATAATAATATATATAATGATTTTCTTTTTTTTTTCCTTACTAGTTGCGTAACTAGATCCGTTTTTTTTTTGAGAGAGAAAAGTAATTAATATTATAATGTAATGTAATAATGTAATATAATAATAATATATATAATTATTTTCTTTTTTTTTTTCCTTACTAGTTGCGTAACTAGATCCGTTTTTTTTTTGAAAGAGAAAAGTAATTAATATTATAATGTAATAATGTAATAATGTAATATAATAATAATATATATAATGATTTTCTTTTTTTTTTCCTCGCCTTAAAATACATGTCAAAACATACCTCCGTAAGAAAAATAAGTATAAAATAAGTAGAAAATAAGTATTAAACTTTGCATAAGGATTCAGAAATTGAAAGGTTTGCAAGTCAATGAAATACAATCACAAAATAAAAATAATAGCATTTCTGTAAATCTAAGTAAATTTCAACAGTTGTCATAACAACAACAATTTACTTACTATTTTATTGAAAAAGTAAGTGTCTTTGGAATTGATACCTTTTCTACTTATCTAAGAAATGATGTAAATTTAAATCAAAGAAAAAATTTTCTACATAACTTCATTCTAAATTTAGACAATGAAGAGCTGCATTAGTGTTAGAGTTCATGTATTCAAGCAAGAGATATCTCAAGCGTAATTAAGCTTTTTTTTATCAGCATTCAAAATATAAACTAACAAGTTATTAAAATAAATAATCATAAAGTAGCCCTATTGCGTAGATAAGGAGAAAAGGGATTTTATGAATTAAGAGGATAAGCGAATAAAATTTACGATGATATATATGTAAAGGATTTTTTTTTTTAAATAAAAAGAAATAAAATTTTTTAAAAGTGATTTTTTAGTTTTTTTATTGTTGATGATGATGATGATTATAATAAGGAGGACCCTGCTCTCCAATAAATGGTTGTACAACTTGAGATACATCAATAGGAGGAGCATCGAGTTGGTAATTACCAACATTTGCTATATTTGTATCTGGGATAGATGCTGTTTTCAAGTAATTCACATATTGTTCATTCATTGGTGTAGAACTATTGAATGAATCTAACGAACCGTGCATTAACAAATGATGGAATAGTATTGGATCTACTTCACCTCCATAGTTATCATTAACTATATCAAGATCAACATTTGTAGTTAATGCATTAGGACCAAGCACAAAATCACTAATGTTTTCAGGTGGAATTTCAATTTGAAGTTGGTGTGTATAATCTACATTGTATCGATTGGGGATGTCAAAAAAGCTAAATGGAGCTTGAATTGGTGAATCAGTCAAGTTGCTACTTCCAAAGACAGTATTGTTATTGTTAATGTCGTAAGTATCATGCGAAGATGTGAACGAATATGAAGGTATTGGCAATGTACTTTGAAAAGATGAGGAGGGCGTCAATCCATCATAAAAACCCAAAGTTGATGGATCATTATTATTATTTCCGTCAATACCAACACCTTCATGATTGAGTAATTCTTTTATGATATCATTAAATTTGACATCTTTAAATTCGATCAATTGTTTTTTTCTAGGTTTTCTAGTTTTCTTAACTCCATTGTTTGTAATTTTTTTGATGGATTTCCCCTGACTATTAAGCGTACCTTGGGGACGTCCACGCGAAATTTTCGGCAGGATACGAACACAGTAATGACCCTTTTCTTCACAGTTTTGGCATGAAGGCCTTTGGTCATCGCACCTTATGTGACGTTTCTTACAACGAGAACAAGCGGTTGTCATATAAGTTGTTTCCCCTTCATCTCCATTTTTTATTATACCAATCGCTTCACTGATCGTTTGTGGAATATTAAAACAAGCAGTTGTTAGGCCTTCATTTACATTTTTTGTATCGAGCATGACGGTCCAATTGTCACTAATATCCGTTTGCTTGTTTGTTTTTTTAATTAAATAATTCGAAGCTTTAATTGAAAATTCGGTTTTATTTTTATTTTAGGGTTTTTTTAGTTTTTTAATTAATAGAGAACATTAATTATAATCAAATAAATGAAAGCGAGAATTTATATTAATTTTAATACGCAGATCGTAGGTATTTAGGGATTCTATTTGTAATACAATTTTTCTTGTTCGAACGATTCATTTTATCAAATTGAGTTTCCAAAAAGGATTTTTTGCCTTTTTTTAGTAACCTCAAAGTTGCAAGTCTACTATGTTGACCCAAGTTGGTATATTAAAATATGTCAGCAAATTGCCTAAAAGTAGATTTTCCATTTATTCTAATCAATCGAATAATTTAATTTCTCTAAAGAAAGATTTTTTGATTCTATGATTTGATTTCTATTTTTACACAATCTCATTTTATTTGTCAAGCATCTGTAATAAAATTCTAGAAAGCCACAAAGTATTATTATTAATAAATATTTAAGTATTAATTATTATCGGGATTAAATAAAGAATCATTATGTAATTCATTTAATTCATTTTGGATATAATATAGTATGATTAAAATTTCTTTTTTATAGAAATGATTTTACTTAATTAATAAAAATCTTTTTTTATTTTAAAAAAAATGGATCCGCTTCCGATCATCAGCGTCAGCAACAGCTGCAAATTAAACTACTAGCTCAGTACAGTCAATTAGTCGAACCTCATTATATATACCTATAGCTATTGAATAAGGGTCTGGAACACTTTACCGACACCCACTTTACCGACAGAACACTTCACCGACAGAACACTTCACCGACAGAACACTTCACCGACAGGACACTTTACCGACAAGACACTTTACTGACAGGATACTTTACCGACAATCTAAGCAAAGTCGAACTTGACGTAAAAATGATCTTGCGAGGAACACCACGACCCCCACAGAAACCACAAGATCGTAATCGTGAAATACGGATCAAATAGTATTAAATGACCGTAACATTAGATCAACTATAAAGTTTCTTCGGGGGATTACCCATAATATTTCATTCTAAAATTTTTTTTTTGTTATTTTTTTAAAATGTTAATAACTAATGTGTCACAATAAAAGTTTTTGTAAATGATTGATAAATAAATTTAATAAAAAAAAAATAAAATGAATATGCAATTTTTATCAATTTCGTCAGACAAAAAAAAAATATTACACATGTATCTATATTGTATTTTTATGAACTTGTTTTTGATGCAAAGAATAATAAGTGGTGTTATTAGTTAATTAACGGTTGATTTAACTTGTTGTAAAAAACCAAATTTTTAGCTAGTCATCCAGGTTTTCACCAGTCCTTGGCAAATTGTTAACACAATACTTGTCGGTAAAGTGTCCTGTCGGCAAAGTGTCCTGTCGGCAAAGTGTCTTGTCAGTAAAGTGGGTGTCGGTAAAGTGTCCTGTCGGTAAAGTGGGTATCGGTAAAGTGTCCGGGTCCGATTGAATAATAATCAAATATCATATTCACAGCAATTTGGACAAAGTTCACAATTACCAAATTACCAATGTCCAGATACATACATATCCAACAAATTTACAACCGCAAAAGATAAACAAGCTGATCCGATTCGATATTGTCAACGAAAGATAGTATGAACAATTGTTTTTATCTCATGCAATTTGTCTCATAAAGCACACCTAAGGCGTGAAACGAAAGAGGACTCTGATTTTTGCAATAGGTGTATTGGAACGAACGAAATATAAAAAGGAGGTTGTAAACATGGTAGCAACTACAAACCAAAGATAAAAAAAATATTTTTATATTTCTTTGTTTCAAATAATTATTTATTTCTTTAATTAATAGGAAAATGAAACAGGAAACCGTGGTAATAGCAAATGGTCATGATTTGTGTAAAGGTATTTCTAGTCCTTTGAATCCAGAAATTGGAGGTTTGCAAGCAATGAAATACAATCACAAAATAAAAATAAAAGTAGCATTTCCGTAAATCTAAGTAATATCAACAGTTGTCATAACAACAAATTTACTTACTATTTTATTGAAAAAGTAAGTGTCTTTGGAATTGACACCTTTTCTACTTATCTGAGAAATGATGTAAATTTAAATCAAAGAAAAATTTCTTTACATAATTTCATTCTAAATTTAGATATAGAAGCTGCATTAGTGTTAGAATTTATGTATTCAGGCAAGAGGTATCTCAAGTGTAATTAAGCTTTTTTTTATTACTCAAAATATAAATTAACAAGTTAATTGAATGTTATTAAAATAAATAATCATAAAGTAGCCCTATTGCATAGATAAGGAGAAAAGGGATTTTATGAATTAAGAGGATAATTGAATAAAATTTACTATGCTTTTTGTGTGATAGATGCTGTTTTCAAGTAATCCACATATTGTTCATTCATTGGTGTAGAACAATTGAATGAATCTAACGAACACCTCCATAGCTATCATTAACTATATCAAGATCAACATTTGTAGTTAATACATTAGGACCAAGCACAAAATCACTAATGTTTTCAGGTGGAATTTGAATTGGAAGTTGGTGTGCATTGTATCGATTGGAGATGTCAATAAAGTTAAACGGAGCTTGAATTGGTGAATCAATCAAGTTGCCACTTCCAAAGACATTAGTATTATTATTGTTAATGTCGTAAGTATCATGCGAAGATGTGAACGAATATGAAGGTGTTGACAATGTACTTTGAAAAGATGAGGAGGGTGTCAATCCATTATAAAAACCCAAAGTTGATGGATCATTATTATTATTTCCGTCAATGCTAACACCTTCATGATTGAGTAATTCTTTTATGATATCATTAAATTTGACATCATTAGATTTGATCAATGGTTTTTTTCTAGGTTTTCTAGTTTTCTCAACTCCATTGTTTGCGATTTTTTTGGGGGATTTCCCCTGACCATTAAGCGTACCTTGGGGACGGCCACGCGAAACATTCGGCAGAATACGAATGCAAATATGACCCTTTTCTTCACAGTTTTGACATGAAGGCCTTTGGTCATCGCACCTTATGTGACGTTTCTGACAACGAGAACAAGTGGTTGTTACATAAGCTCTTTCCCCGCCTTCATCTCCATTTTTTATTATACCAATCGCTTCACTGATCGTTGGTGGAATATTAAAACAAGTAGTTGTTAGGCCTTCATTTACATTTTTTGTATAGAACGTGATGGCCAAATTATCCGTATGATGATTCATTTGCATCTTTTTTAATTAGATAATTTGAAGTTTTAATTTTATTTTAGGGTTTTTTGTTTTTTTAATTAATAGAGAACATTAATTATTGAACGAGATGAATCAAATAAATGGAAGCGAGAATTTATATTAATATTAATTCGCAGATCGTAGGTATATAGGGGTTTCCATTTGTAACAATTTCTTGTTCGAACGATTCATTTTATCAATTGAGTTTCCAAAAAGGATTTTTTTGCCTTTTTTTAGTAACCTCAAAGTGGCAAGTCTACTATGTTGACCCAAGTTGGTATATTAAAATATGTCAGCAAATTGCCTAAAAGTAGATTTTCCATTTATAAATAATTTAATTTTTCCAAAGAAAGGTTTTTTGATTCTATGATTTGATTTCTATAACGATATTTATATTTATATCAAGTATCTGTAATGAAATTTTAGAAAGTTACAAAGTATTATTATTATCAGGGTTAAAGAGATGAACCTTATGTAACTCATTTAATTCATTTGGGTATTATTTCTTTGTTAAAATTTCTTTTTATTTATTCAATCAATAAAAAATTTATTTTTAAAGGTTTATTTTTAAAAATTTATTTTTATTTTTAATAACTGCGACTTTCAACACCTAAATAAATAGGCAAAAATTTTATTCTTATATCTATTTTTCATATATACTTGTTTATATATGTGCCTAATCGTAACTTTGTAGAGAAAGGTCTTAGATTCAAAACTAAGGCTGGCAGCGTAAAGGAATTAAAACCTAATTTAATAACAATTGTCTTGACTTAACATATGACTAAATAGTTAGTCAGTTTAACCAGCCCTATGAAAAATAAAATATGAATTTACCTGTGTTAAATACGTTTTTAAAAATATAATATATATTGATATACGGAATTAACGTATTTCTTATACGGTTTTGAAAAATTCCCCTTTTCAAATTTAGTGTGAAATACGGAATTGATACGGTATCAGTACGGAATTTGTAGCTATAACATACTGGAAAGCCGTATATAAGGTACGGAATTTGTGACATATTAATACTAATACTGGAAAGGTTCTAGTGTGTTTTGATTCCGCGTATAAGATACGTAATGTGTAAAATACCGAAAAGAATATATTTATTTTATTTATTATTATTATAAAATATGTAGTATTTCATCAACAACAAAAATGCATTTATTTTTAAGTTGGGTTTAGATCGCATCTCTTTGTCGCAAAAAGCAAAAAAATGACATCATTCAGGCCAAAACAATAGTCTATTTTATTAAATTCAAAACATATAAATAGGACAGCCATCCTTTCATTTTTTTTTTTTTTTTTTTTGAAAAACTTGAATGTTTTCATGAAACAAAATTTGGATCTTAATCTTTATTATTATCCTCAAAAAATGATGATTCATTGTTGTTCGATACTTGTTGCTATAGTAATAATACTTTCTCATGATTGATAGATCTTCATATATGGGGGGATTTCTGGAAAAATGTGGTTAGAGAACCTCTCTGACCAAAATTGAGTTTTTGCATATTACATATCTGTATTATAAAGGATTAAAACTAGTGAAAAAATCAGACCATATTTGTTTAGTAAAAAAATGAGCAATTGGGTAACAAAAAACTTTTTAAATTGCATAAAAATCTAAAAATAGATCTGCAACCCTATTTAATGAAAGAATATGATGAATTTAATTTAGTGCGATGTATTTAGTATTAGCTTTAAAGGAGATTTTCGACCATTTTATAGAATTTGTTTAAAAA